GAATTTTAGTCAAGCATATATTAGAAGTGTATTACCTCCTGAATTATGGAAGAGAATCGAGAATGTAGCATTTGAACCAAATGTTGTGAGAAGCTATGAACGCTTGAATTATATTTCAGTGCCGGAAGCTATTAGTACACATTCATCTGATGATTATTATCATAAAATTCATATTGGTTCAAGAACAAATCGAGAAGATAATAAAGGTACTATTTTAAGCCAGCTGATTTTGAAAGAAGAGGATTGCATCAATATTTATATAAACAACCTCATTTTAATAAAATAGAAAGTGGGAAAGAGAATTATGAAATGATGAAGAATGTTCATAAACAATTAAAACATTGGGGAACAAGTGATAAACGTACTGATTATGAAAAAGTATTACTTAGAGTATCTCCTGATGATGATAAAATTAATCATTTTAAAACAATAAATGGAAAAATTAAATTTTATAATAAATAATCAATTACTTTCTTTCTTTGGTTTTGTTTCTTCTTCTTTCTTTTTATCTTTTATTATAAATCTATTCTTGTATTCTTTCTTTTGTTCCTCTTTCTTTTTGGGATGTCCCACATTAATCCTTTTTTTTCTAGCTATTCTATAGACTAAGCTCCAGTATGGTTTCTTTAGTTCTTTTATTTCTTCATCTTTTGTGTATTCTTCAATGGAATTGACTAATTTGACCATGGTGTCTATAAATTCATCTGCATCCATATATACAAACTTACCCATAGCATGGTCTGCTATCATGTCTTTAATGGTTGTCATGTATGAATGATTAAACAGATCGAAATAAATAGTTTAAATAGTCAATTTATCTCTTTTATGGTAGTACATTATTCATACTCGTACTCATATTCATATTCATATTCTATTTCTGGTTCCACTTCTTCTATTTCTTCTACATTTTATTCTGCTTCTTCATTTACATCGACGTTTTCGTTGTTATGTTTAAAGTTATTCCAATATTTTTGTTGATCTTGTAATGTTAACTCTTTTGGAATGTCTTCAACTCTTAAGTCTTCTTCTTCTTGTTTTATTATTGGTTCAATCTGTTCTGTTAGTATATTTTTAGAATCGCTTTTGTCTCTTTTTTGTGATGGATTCGAATAGAATAATATGTCTTTAGCAAGTAATCTATATCTTTTTTCTAATTCATCAACTTCATGCTTACGGGTTTTAACGTCATCGAAGAGTTCTTTATCATCGATTTTTGTAGTAAGCTTCTTAACTTCTTTGACTTTTCGTTATTTCTTAGCAATAACTGGTTTTTTAATTTGTTTTTCTTCTTTCTCTTTATATTCTTCTCTTTTCTCTTCTATTTTTTAATTGGTAATGTATCATTCATTATTTCATTATTTTGAGCTTCTTCTGTTTCGATTAATGCTTCATTTTGTGGATGTTCTATTTTTGTTTCATTTATTGCTTCTTCTCTTTCTTCTTTCTCTTCTATTGGTAAATAGTGTTGTAATTATTCTAAATGTATTCCTCGTTCATAATCTCTCTTTTCTTGATATTCATTAGTACTTCTAAATGATGTTTTCGTTTTGAGTTATCTCTATTTTTTATCTATCCATTCTTTAATGGAATGTCTATTCTCTCTTGGTGGTTTAGGTAGTATAATATTTCTATCTGGTTCTTTTTCATCTTTATGTATTTCTATTTCTTCTTCCATTGCTTTATCTTTTATTTCTTCAAGTATTTGTGGGATTTTATCTTCTTTAATGTCCAATAGACTTTTTTCTTTAATTATTGAGCCATTTATGATAAGTCCTTCTTCTTGTGCTTTTATGTATTCATCTATATTTTGTCTATTATTTTCTCTTATTATATCTCTTATTTCTAATAATTGTTTTGCCATTTCAGCTTCGTTTGAAGCATCTATTCCTGCTTTTTGTAATATCTTTGTAACTGGACTAGTATAGGTTAATATATCTGAAGTATCTTCTGGACTAATTAATTCATATAAAGGTAATTCTTCTTGAAGCTCTTTATCATTGGTATCAATGTTATCATCTGTTTCTATGTCTATAAGTTGCTCATTCTTATATTCATTTATGTTTGGATCATCAAATATATCTAATTGATTCATTTTCATATTTACATCTACGTCTTCAATTATTGAATTCTTTGTTTTATCAATATCAATAAGATTAATTAATTCTAGTCTATCTGTTGTATCTATTTCGATATCTGGTTTATAGAATGTACCATCTGTATAATTATCTGGATGTAAATCAACATCATCATCTTCTTCAAAGTAATAATCTTCTCCATTATCTGGATCATATATGTTATTTATTTTATTGAATATATAATCATTGTAATTATCATAGTATTGGTTGTTATGAATACTTCTATAACTTCCCCATTTTCTTTTTAACACATTTGGTCTATACCAATAACTCATTATTAAAATAAAAATAAAAGATAAAAGAAATAAATAGATTAAATTATTTCCGTTTGAATTCAACCATGTCTCAATTATTCGTTTACTTTTGTATATCATTATCTTCTTCTGATACACCTTCAATGAGAGTTGAGTCTTCAGCATTTAATATTGGTTCTTTTCTCTTTAATGGCAAATCAAATACATCTCGTCTAATTACCTCTTCTAATGGTTCTGACATTTGTAAATCATTTAATATTTCATCTACATAAGCAGCATCTATATCATCTATATTGTCAAATGGTGGTAGTTCTTCATGTAATTTGTAATTGGCAGCTATTGCATTTATTAAATTTGGTGGTAATTCTCCATATAATTTTTGTAACATTGATATTCTATCATTGTCACTGTCATTTTCAATATATAATTTCTCCTTTGTAGTAAGTACAACAGTGTTTTTATCTAGCCAGTCTCTATCTCCTTTATTTCCTGCTAAAGTCTGTAAATCTTTAAAACTACCTGGATTCAATACTATAATGGTGGGCATAGTTATTTCATCTAAATGTCAATATTATACATTGACTCTTGCTTTCTCACCTCAAGTTGAAATAATAGCTTTGAAGTCTTCACATTCTATTGAGTTCAAACTTGCATCATCAAAAAGTCGATAGTCGTATTCTCTACTTTCATCATAGCCATCTGCCATGATTCTTCATCGGAATTCATATACTTGTTTGTCTTTGAGGAGATCGTTGATAAATTCAGTCTTTCCTCGTTTGGTTTCTGAAACAATCACTAAGGCGGGTGGCTTTTTAATGTCTACTGTTTCTAGAGTGTGCATCCACACTCTTGCTCCCTGGACTACTGGATTTGTTTCTTTCCAGGGACTCAATTTTATATTTATTCTGTTTCTTCTTTCTCTGCTATGTTGTTTGTCATACATTTCGCTGAATTTTTTCATTGTTCATTACCCAGGCTGGGCTTATATTTCTTAAATAAGCGATTGCTTCAGCTTTTGAGTTCATCCTAAGGGATTGTTCTATCATCGAATCCCCAACCTTGTACCCCTTTGTCGTCTTTAAATTACCATATTCTTCGAAGACAGCTTTTGTTTTGTGTTTTTTACTTTGGTTTTTTATGTCATCAATAATACTCAGATATGAACCGTCGAAAGCGTCTAATTTTGTAAACGGACTGAAATTTATCTTCATTTCTTTCCCATTGATATTTACGAATGGTTTTCTCATTATATCTACTTGGTTTTCTAATATAAAGAAAACATAGCCATGTTTGTTATTTCCTTCTGTTGTCTTACCATAAGCTAGATATTTTATATTCTCTTTATTTGTCTTTGTTGAGCACCAAGTCGTTAAAGCTTCTTTCATTGTCTGTAATGTTGGGGGTAGTATGTAAGTTCTCGAAGTTGATATATGCAAAACCCGCGATTGATTTAAAATGGTAATAGTTTTGTTTATTTGAATTCATTGTTGTTTTTTTTTTTTTGTTCTTTAAGGTTTTTTTTATATTTTTTAATTTGTCTGTTTTTAAAAAAGTGTCTGTTTGAGTCTTAGGTTTTAATCTTTTTATTATTTAATTTTTTTTTGTTTTTATTTATTTATTTAGAAAAGAATGTGCAACGGTATTCTTGTTACTACTCTTTCAGAAATTATGCAGAATATCAAAGAACAGCTGGATTTCCATTTAGAACGTGATAATTTTTTGTTTGTTCGTTGTTTAATTTATTGGATTTCTTATTTCCAGAGAAGATGGACTTTTGAAAATTATAAGTTCGATTCTCTGGTTATGAATTATTTGGATTTCTTTATTGAAGATTGTCACTCTCTTCTTATTGGAGGTGAAAGATTAGCCAAGCTTCTTATTGCTTTAAGAAATTATACTTGATACAAGGGGATGCTTATTGTCACAAATATTATACTAGTCATTTCATGTATGAAATCAAGATTTTATTCTTAATGAACATTTTGATTGAAACACTTCCAAAGAACAGTTAAATAAACTATTAAGAATAATACTATTCTATTATTTAATGATACTACCATCTTTATATAGTTATTATATTATTTGATGTATGGATCAATGCATAAAAATGATAGATATGTTTCTGAAGAAGAAACAGAAATAGAAGACAGAGCTTTAAAATTAGCGGATATCAATTCTTTTTAACAGATTTAAAGAGACTGACTGAAACGTGGAATGTGTTATGTAATAGTTTTGATATATCATTAGGCAATGATCTATTAAGTTGTGTCGCGTCAAGTCTATGACCGAAGGCTATACTAAAACAATAGAAGAATTTGACAATAAAATTAAAACGTTCAAAAGAAAGAATTTCCTTTTAATTAAAACGATAAAAGAAAAAAGGAAAAGAAGGATGAAGAGAGTAAACCAAGAAGAAGAACAGTGGAAATATTATAATTGAATATTTCTTAATTAATTTAAAATTTTGGTATTTATTTTTGTTATTTAAACAATAAAAAGAAATAAAAAGCATTCAATTAAAATGATCAATATCACGAATATACTTACCTGAATCAAGTATATTAAGTAAGAACAAAAGAGGACCATAAACCAATAAATTGGAATGAATATCTACAATGAGATATTCGACTATTTATTCATTTAGTCCGAGTATTTCAAATGATACTTACATTCCCAAACACGGAACCAATAAATCAAACCATATAATACTATTTCAGTATTATTATTCATGGATTGACTTGGCTTCACTCTCGCCTCCTTAGCAATAGCTGGGAGTAATACTGAGAGATGCAGCTTGTTACAAATACCATTAAAAAACTTTGAATGCTATATACAATAAAAATGTTTAAATAACAAATTAAATGATTGTATGAGGTAATAAAATGCCTATTATATTATAATTATAATAATTATAATAAAAATAGAAATTGCCTGCTTTGTTTCTTTTGCCTGTCTAAATGTCTGTTACATCTTAATATTTAAACTGTTGAAGAGGGGATAACAAACGTATCAATAGCACGTGTGACTCTCCAGAAGAAAGAAGCATGCAACAACATCTGGGCAATATAAAAATGTCCGATTTAATAGATTACTTCAGAAGTATTGATGACATGAAGGTAACTCTGTTCAAATTTTTTAGAATGCTTCGATAAGGAACAGAGAATACCATGCAACTTGCCCACGTATGATATGCTAATGGAGAAAGAAGCAGAACATGTGAAAGAAATTCACGATATGACAGAAGAAATGATGGAAAATTATGCAGAAGTCATCATGTTATATGAAGAAAAGGCATCAGAAAGTGAATGAGTAGAGTTAATAAAGAGAATGGAAAAGAAACCAAAAGTTACTAAAGATAATTAAAATTAATTTAATTCTTTTTAATATTAATTTTGGTTTTAATAAATAAAAATAAATAAAATAAAAAAATAATAAATTAATTATTATTCCAAATCATTAACGAAATGGAAATTTTCTAACAATTCTAATAAACCTCCAAGTTTATTAAATCGTTGAACCTTAGTGCAAGAATCAACGAAACATGTTAAACAATAAAATAAAACATCACTATAATTATAGTGTGTCTCCTCAAACCTCCTAATAAAATACATGATAGAATAGATTAGACATTTAGATTCTAAATCTAAAGTTTCACTTTCGAGGATATATTTACAGGTTTCGTTGATGTCTTGCACAATGCTAGACAAGAGGGGGAACATCGAATGAAATAAAAAGTACTCCAGTTTAAATAACACATGAAACGTGTAAACAACACGACAGACAGGCACTTAAACAGACAATTCTAAATTAATTGAATTATATTATTATAGTTTGACAGACATTCTTCTACCTCATTCATTACCTCATACATACAATAAACAGACAAAATAGAAAATTCCAGGGATAATAAATAGTTCATCTTACTAATATCAAACCATTCAATTGAATGTGACATAAACCAAAGGAAAATATTACGAGTTCAGATCAATGCACAGACTCGTAACAATTAATTTTATACCAGATGAACAAATGCCAACCGATACAATAATCAAAAACGCTATGGAACAATAGTGTACTACAAGAAATAAAGAGGCATTAAGTAAATCAACAAGAGGACACAATAAACACGTGCACATGTTCTTTGAACTAGATGAAGTTGCTCATAGTCGCAAAAAAACCTTGTGTACAGCTTAATGGAGAGAAACATTTTGTTAAATTTACTAAAGTAACTGAAAGTGAACAGTATGATGGAAGTTTTAAAAACATAATAGAATATTTAAAAAATAACATATTAAACATCCCGATAGTGGAGCTGTATTTAGTGAGATGGGCAAATTAGAAACGGACAGGGGAAGATTTGGAGATAAAGATATAGGTAAAGCGCTAAAAATGCCAGATCTTGAAGAAGCACACGCTTATTTAAAAAGTGTTAGTCTCAAGGGTTATATGAACACTGTTCAAAATTTTGACAAGATATGGAACCAAGAACACGACAGAGATAACTATCGACGTATTAGAATTAAATTGCAACCTTGGAAAGAAGATAATTATCTTGTCAAAAATAGTAGAATCCGGTTAGAATCAATGTTAAAGGGAAATAAAAAAGAATCAAAACTCTGGTACTAGTTAGTGATACACGAATGGGTAAGACGGAATTTGTAAATGACCTGCTTAAAGACTTAAAAGTGGATGAATTTAGAAGTCATTTTATGCTCAACAGACACAATGAAAATGTTATATATGATATCAGATTATTCGACGATGCGAATTTAAATGACATAACTTGGTCAGAGTTTAAATCACTAACCAGTACTAGGAGAAGAGCATATTACAATAAACAATAAAAATTCACATGTAAAAGTGACATCGATTCCAACTATTTTAGTTTTAAATCCAGGAAGTTGGAAAGCTTTACCACGAACAACTAAAGAATATGAAGACTTCGATTGGCTGGAGAAAAATACAGTAGTGCTACAAACCAAAGAAAAGTTGTTTATTGAACCACCACCTAAAGCAGAAGCAGTACAAGATAAAAGTAAATATGATAGATTAGATCCCAAACTAGTTGAAATGTTTATGGAGAACGAAGTTGAAGAAGATGTTAGTTTAGATGATATGGGAGATGACACAATAGATGATTTAAATGAAATAATAGAAGAATTAGAAGAAGAAAGTATGCCTCCTCCGATAGTACTTGAAGAGCCAATGTCAGTTGAAGAAAACAGAGAGAAAAAGAAGTCTTTAATATTATCTCTGTTAAAAGAGAATAATAAAGCAATACTACCACCTAAAGAATCAGATGTTGAATTAACTCAAAAAGCTAGAGAACTAGCAAATAGGTGGTTAGGTGGTAATTTTAATTAACTCTTTTTTTGGTTTATCTTTTATTTTTATTTTAATAATGAGTTATTGGTATAGACCAAATGTGTTAAAAAGAAAATGGGGAAGTTATAGAAGTATTCATAACAACCAATACTATGATAATTACAATGATTATATATTCAATAAAATAAATAACATATATGATCCAGATAATGGAGAAGATTATTACTTTGAAGAAGATGATGATGTTGATTTACATCCAGATAATTATACAGATGGTACATTCTATAAACCAGATATCGAAATAGATACAACAGATAGACTAGAATTAATTAATCTTATTGATATTGATAAAACAAAGAATTCAATAATTGAAGACGTAGATGTAAATATGAAAATGAATCAATTAGATATATTTGATGATCCAAACATAAATGAATATAAGAATGAGCAACTTATAGACATAGAAACAGATGATAACATTGATACCAATGATAAAGAGCTTCAAGAAGAATTACCTTTATATGAATTAATTAGTCCAGAAGATACTTCAGATATATTAACCTATACTAGTCCAGTTACAAAGATATTACAAAAAGCAGGAATAGATGCTTCAAACGAAGCTGAAATGGCAAAACAATTATTAGAAATAAGAGATATAATAAGAGAAAATAATAGACAAAATATAGATGAATACATAAAAGCACAAGAAGAAGGACTTATCATAAATGGCTCAATAATTAAAGAAAAAAGTCTATTGGACATTAAAGAAGATAAAATCCCACAAATACTTGAAGAAATAAAAGATAAAGCAATGGAAGAAGAAATAGAAATACATAAAGATGAAAAAGAACCAGATAGAAATATTATACTACCTAAACCACCAAGAGAGAATAGACATTCCATTAAAGAATGGATAGATAAAAAATAGAGATAACTCAAAACGAAAACATCATTTAGAAGTACTAATGAATATCAAGAAAAGAGAGATTATGAACGAGGAATACATTTAGAATAATTACAACACTATTTACCAATAGAAGAGAAAGAAGAAAGAGAAGAAGCAATAAATGAAACAAAAATAGAACATCCACAAAATGAAGCATTAATCGAAACAGAAGAAGCTCAAAATAATGAAATAATGAATGATACATTACCAATTAAAAAATAGAAGAGAAAAGAGAAGAATATAAAGAGAAAGAAGAAAAACAAATTAAAAAACCAGTTATTGCTAAGAAATAACGAAAAGTCAAAGAAGTTAAGAAGCTTACTACAAAAATCGATGATAAAGAACTCTTCGATGACGTTAAAACCCGTAAGCATGAAGTTGATGAATTAGAAAAAAGATATAGATTACTTGCTAAAGACATATTATTCTATTCGAATCCATCACAAAAAAGAGACAAAAGCGATTCTAAAAATATACTAACAGAACAGATTGAACCAATAATAAAACAAGAAGAAGAAGACTTAAGAGTTGAAGACATTCCAAAAGAGTTAACATTACAAGATCAACAAAAATATTGGAATAACTTTAAACATAACAACGAAAACGTCGATGTAAATGAAGAAGCAGAATAAAATGTAGAAGAAATAGAAGAAGTGGAACCAGAAATAGAATATGAATATGAATATGAGTACGAGTATGAATAATGTACTACCATAAAAGAGATAAATTGACTATTTAAACTATTTATTTCGATCTGTTTAATCATTCATACATGACAACCATTAAAGACATGATAGCAGACCATGCTATGGGTAAGTTTGTATATATGGATGCAGATGAATTTATAGACACCATGGTCAAATTAGTCAATTCCATTGAAGAATACACAAAAGATGAAGAAATAAAAGAACTAAAGAAACCATACTGGAGCTTAGTCTATAGAATAGCTAGAAAAAAAAGGATTAATGTGGGACATCCCAAAAAGAAAGAGGAACAAAAGAAAGAATACAAGAATAGATTTATAATAAAAGATAAAAAGAAAGAAGAAGAAACAAAACCAAAGAAAGAAAGTAATTGATTATTTATTATAAAATTTAATTTTTCCATTTATTGTTTTAAAATGATTAATTTTATCATCATCAGGAGATACTCTAAGTAATACTTTTTCATAATCAGTACGTTTATCACTTGTTCCCCAATGTTTTAATTGTTTATGAACATTCTTCATCATTTCATAATTCTCTTTCCCACTTTCTATTTTATTAAAATGAGGTTGTTTATATAAATATTGATGCAATCCTCTTCTTTCAAAATCAGCTGGCTTAAAATAGTACCTTTATTATCTTCTCGATTTGTTCTTGAACCAATATGAATTTTATGATAATAATCATCAGATGAATGTGTACTAATAGCTTCCGGCACTGAAATATAATTCAAGCGTTCATAGCTTCTCACAACATTTGGTTCAAATGCTACATTCTCGATTCTCTTCCATAATTCAGGAGGTAATACACTTCTAATATATGCTTGACTAAAATTCAATTGGTATGGATCATCATCCATCAATTTGTGTTGAATAGTTAAATCATTCAATTTATCAACAACAATATCACTGACTAGTTTAATATCATTCAAATACTTTATTAAAGCCAAAGGAGCAGCAATACCAGACATTTGATCTACATTTGTTGAATTTAAACATCTCTCCCCCTCTGGTGTTGTTTTAAAACAATTTCCATTAACACGAATAATCTTTCCATTATACAAAACAGGCAATGTCAAATTTATACTCTCAGGATGAGTAAGATAATACAAAGCTAATTCTTTCTCACTAAAGACAGTAGAAATATATATTATCAACAATATTTGGATTTTTCTCTATTGCCACCTTCATTAATTCAAGTGCAGTATTCCTCTCAAATAAATCTCCATTCTTATATCTCGTTTCTAAATATTTATATAAATTATTTCCTTTCAACGCCTCATTAAATTCATTAAATTCTTTAATATTAAAAATACTACTTACACCAAAAGCTTTTGCAATATCATTAAAATACTTTGCTCCATATTTTTATATCCTTCTTTAATCCCTTGAACCATTGAAACATCTAAATGAGCAGATGGATCATTAACACTCTTACCACCTGTCAATTCACTATATTTATCTTTTATATAATCCTCACGATTGTTATTGGTTTCTTTTCTTCAATAAAATCATCATCTACATCAATAACCATTTTTCTCATTCTTTGAGGTTCTTTTTCATCTAATGTTTCTTTTCTATTTGGTCAAGGTGGAGTATAATATACTCCTTGATTATTATTCTGTAATATATCACTCGTATACTTAGAAGTATTAAATGGTTTATATTTTGTTTGATCAACTCTCATAGAAGTACTAAAAGGATGATATTGTTGCTGAGTATCTCTTCTTATTCCATCATAATTAAATCGTATTGAACCATATCTTCTTTTATGAAGATTTAATCGTTGTTTTCTCTTCTTAACCAAACACATTAAAATAAAAAGTTAATTAGGGGTTAAAGTTTTTACTACTTCTAATACTTCTTCTACTGCATTCATAACATTCACTTGTCTTCTACTTTCAAAAAATGCAAAGAAACAGCTAACTATTAACATTATACACGATAATATAAGCATGACTATTTTACGGATAATATTCCATGTACTTTCTTTAAACACATCTTCTGTACAATTATGCGAGTGATTAGAATCACTGGAGTCTGCACTCATATTATGAATTATTCAGTTCATCTCTTTATTCATATGATTCATTCTAGAAATAACTGTCCTAGTAATACACATGAAGTAGAATTTGTTTTTAATACCCCATTGAAATTAAATTAAATAAAGGAATGTGAGTATATAAAACTTCTCTTTTTGAATTACTCTTCAATAACACAAATTATAAATCATTTTGTAATTGTTTTAAAAGAGTTAAAATATTTAAAGCATTGATTAGTCTCTCAATAGGTGAAATAAATGTAGAAGAAATAGGATTAAATTTTCCTATTGTTAGTACTACATGGTTTCCAACATATATTCGTTCCAATATTGATCAAGACACTGCTGATGACAAAGATATAAATAAAGTAATTAATATGATTAATTCAAGTACTCATTTACAACAACAAGTCTATTATCCAGGTGGAGCATTTCAAATTAATACAATTATTAAAGCTATGACATTACAAGAACAAAACTATTATGGACCTACTAGAGTAGAAGGATATTGGAAATATGATTCACCTGAACTTCAACCATTTACAAATGAAAATGTAAGTATTCCTTTTTATCCATGGTACTTCATAGGAGTAGAAACACCAAATAACAATGATAATAAAAGTATTAAATTTAATTGTCAATGGTATATCACTGTTCATTTTGATAGATATATTTGCACTCCAATAGAAGAAGAACAAACAATGAATTTACTTGATTTAAATGTCAATTTAACCAATGAAGAAATCAAACAAAGAGAAACACTCACATATCAAGCAGAAAATAATTCAACATATGAAAAAGTAACTATAGCATTTCCAGAAAAAGAAGAATCTACATTTATTTTAATTATAAAAGATAAACAAATATATTAATTAACTCATTTTTATCATTCATGTCTATCATTAGCACGACAACCAAACAAGAAACTTTAATAAGAAAAGATGAATTAAATAAAAATACATTCAAAGTAACAGTGAATACAAATGATATAACTATCGAAACAACTACAAATGGAATAACAACATTCACCAGTGAAAATTACATTGACCGTATTCAATTAATCAATCAAGTACCTGAACCAAAAATCCAAACAAAAGCAGTTACTATTACTGAAAATGGTTCATACACTATCACTCCAGATGATAATCTTGATGCACTTGATTATGTTTATGTAACTACAAATGTACCACAATATAAAATAGATTCTATAAAAATATATAACAACGGAAATAAATTAGCAACAGTAGCAACAGATACAATATATATTACAGAAAATAACACTGATATTGCAGATTTAATACCAGCAGATGGAAAATTACATAAAGTCGTAAATAATACAGACT